ATTATGAGCATCTAAAAATTCTAATGTGACTAAGAAATTACCTAGATTGAGAGAATTTTTAGATATATCGTGACTTTGAAATGAGTGCCCATTGAAGTTGAACACAATCAATAGATGCATTAATACGGATAACATATGCACTTTATACTTGTTTTGACTACTCGTAGAAAACTGATTGAATGTGTTGTTTACTCTTGATTAATCAAAACTTCTTACTTAATGCGAGTTTGATTATATGCACTATCACATTCTCCAACATGAGTATGAATCTTTTTTTTTCCAATATGTAAAGCCTTCACCAACAAAAGACACACCATCACCTTACTTTCCAGAACTTGTTTTGAAAAGATAACAATACAAACAATAAGCAACATCTTTTTCTATTCTATACTCCAACCAAGAACCGAACTCTTTAAACCAGGAAGGATTGAATCGTCTAGCTCTTACTCTAAATTGTCGTTTGGGAAAGTCATGATGTTTGGACTGACAAGGACCCTTTAACATATATGTTCTTCGAACTTGATCTCAGATGTTAGCATTGTAATCTAAAATTTGTATCTTTAGACCACGATCAATTGAAAGTTTTGTGACGTCAAATTCCACATTATTTGTCATTCCCCATCAACATTTACACTGTCTACATTAGTTTTTCTTTGAAAGAATCACTTCATTTCATATCTAAATTTAAATATTAGCTATCCAATTACTACTGAGAGTAATTCAGAACGACAAAAATAGAATTACAAATACTAGAAGCAAAAGCAAAGGCTGCAAAACAATTCTCATGGAATTCACATAGCAATACTGTAAGCAATTCGCAGGGAAACTCACATAACAATACTATAAATAGGGGCGCAGTAAAAATACTATAAGTACGGGCAATTTACATAACAATTCACAGGGCAATACTATTTCCAGAACTTATGTAATTCACACTTCATTGACAGGGTAAGCAATAAATTACAGTTACAGAGGCAAGCAGGCGAGCATGCAGCAATACTGGAAGGAAGTCGGTAGCCAAATCAATTGTACAGCAATGTGTATGCAGTGGGCTTCGAGCAATTGAAGAGTAAAGTTCCAATTCCAAAAGTTAAAAAGTAAAAAATAAAACATTATCAGAAAACCCACAAATCAACATAGCAAAAAAATAAGAAAAGATTAGGCAGAAAATCACGGATAACTACATAAGCTTCTGTTCGGGGCTAAGGGCTTCACCTAATCTTTTTCTTTTGTTCTTGTCGATTGTTGAAGAATCGTCGTCGTGGACTTGCCATCTAGGGCTCGAACAGGGACAAAGGAGACTCAAGTGAGTAGGAGCTGCAAAGGTTCAGTCATTCTTGAAAGAGTGGGTATGGGTTGTGAGAAAGAGAGGAGCAGCCGGGACTAGGAGGCTGAGATAGGAGGTGGAGGTGGAGGCGGAGGCGAAGACGATGAATTTGGTCTTGTTGTCTGGATTTCGGAATGAAATGTATTGGTGGGCTGTGCCTAATCTTTGGCCGTCTGGGTATTGGTATGGTTTTGGGCTAGCCATTACATATTCATAATTTTTTTGGGCCATTGGTTTGGGCCCAAAAGTTCAGTGCAGGCCCATTCTTGCACTGGACTTCATTGGGCTCCGCTCCGTCCCTATTTGCAGTTATTATACTTTGATCAGATCTTCAGTTGGGTTTCTATATTTCAATTCATGATAACTGAGTCAATATACTTTATTTGTGCCATTTGGACCACTAAACTCTAATTTTGTCTCAATTTTTAGGCCACTCAATTCAATTTCATCACATTTTTTCACGCTAGACACTAACGCGATTATTATATATTAATAGTCATCTTACATGGGTTTGAATTAATTTCAGATTTCGAGTATAATGTATAAAATGAGTTTTCCAATTGTATCACTTATTAAAAATCCAACATTGCTGCACATACAGAAGCAGCTGAAAACATATACTCAGAGCAGTGGGGTGGGTGGGATTTTTTTCAATATTTTACTCACATGGGGCCCACACCCCATGCGAGTGTTCTGACAAATTTCTGGCAAATCTATTTCCGTACAAATGGAAAAGTTCTTAAAAATCATATTTAATAGTCAAGTAGGATGGTAATTAATATTAAGTTCCTATTTGACACCGATTAAAATCTAAATTTTAATTTAAGTCAAAATAAACAATTTATTTCAACAATCTATTTTAACCACATATTTTATGAGTCTCAAAATTTTTTAATCACACATTTAATCAACTTTTATCAAAATTTACTAAAAATCTAATTTTTAATCCCAACAAACTAGAGCTAAAAGTGTGACTAAAGGAACATAATGGCCTGTTTGAAACAAAATTAATGTATAATAACCCGATTAAAAATAGATCAACGAAATTAACCCGAAAATCATCGGAAAAGGTTAGGCGCGTATCCAGTGGAACGTTAAATTTCCACTATCCAAACATTTGTAATAAACTCTTTTACACGTATTCTTGACAAACCACACCCATATCCAGCTTGCCTTGAAAAATAGTTTACAGCTCTTTTCTTCCTAATATAATCCCTTCTTCTTTCTCTCAAGTTTCCAAATTCATAATCTTTCACTACCTACACAGACTCACAGTCATTTCCTAAGAATTTCTCGGTAAGTACCACTTACATTTTGCTGTTTTATTTAACTGTGTTTTTTTGGGATTACGTAGACAAATAATTTAAGAAGTTGCTTTTAACCAGGATAGATACACTGCTTGTTTTTCTTTGTACCTTGTCTAGTCTTATCTTCTTAAAATTTGTGAATCCGCAAATTCTCCCCCCCCTTTTTTTTTTTTTTTCTGGTTTTTTGTTTTTCTCACCTTCCAAGTGACTACTGAAGCAAATATACTGCTGCATTTTTTGTTTTATTTTGTGGGTTCGAAGTTTGAATCATTACTAAGATATTATATGGTAGCGCTGGATGGATGTGATGGTTGGTAAATTGTAATCACTTATCCCTTATAAGTTCTTTTTGAAATGTAGAATGATTCTCCTCACTTTATTCTTTTTTTGATCATGTTACATGTATCGAATTTTTTTACCGAATATTTTACCTACTACTCGTAATGGGGATGAGGACCATGTTGTCGAAATTTTTAAATACACTCGGATCCCCCACATTATGTGAGAGGAGATAATCCATTATGTACAAACCACTACGTACAAATGAATTAATCCTTTTTTTTTATTTTTTTTTATATCTGCAAAAGGCCACAATGCAATACAAGACATTCTTGTACAATAATTACATTTTTTAATCCCAAAATTCTTTCACTGCACCATTGATCCCGGCGACAATGGAGGGATTTTTTAATCGTCAAAAGGCTCTTTGATTGGTTGACCAATTATATAAGTGGCCCCACTCGGCTATATTTCTTGAGGACATTATTGTTGTACAGAGCCACAAATCAGGGGCGCCAAGTGGCCACTTATAGGGGGTCGTCACTTGGGCCCCTGTAGTATAGTGCCAGTTTAATTAGTCCATTTTTTTTTTTTTTTTTGATACCTAAGTTTCCCAACTTACACTAGACTATATCCTGGATCACCCAGAATCGGTGCCTCAACTCTGGGCGGAGGTAAATCGCGGATTATGCCCAATCAAGCTAGTGTCCATGCAACCTTTATACTTCTGACCCCAAGGAAGCCTTCCTGCGCAGGATTTACATCACCAANCACCAAACTGCTCCACCACATGATTTGGGTATTACTACACTTGGCTGCTCTGTCCGTGATTCGAACTGCCGACACTGGGATTGCAAGCCCAGCCCGTCTTTGCCATCTTGAATGTGCCCCGGGGCACAATTAGTCCATTTCTTGATTTGATATTGTACCATCCACATCAAGTGGTTAGACTTGTGCAATTGGTCTTGTCCCTGTATCAATCAATGCTACCAAAACTAAAATTAGTGTATTTATTAGGCACATTCACTACAAATTGGTTGAGGTATCATATCCATTTATTTTCATAACATACATTGTCAACCAAAATCAAATTGTACAAATAACTTAATTCTTATTAGGCACTAGAAGCATGTACTACTTGTATTCTCTTTAAGAGGCTTTAGCGTATATTTAGTATGAAGTACTTTGCAAGATTGAACATGTAATGTGTGTTTAATGTTCAATACTGTTCGAGATTTGATGTTACAATGAACGACTCCTGTCCAAGAGCAAACATGCCATTAATGTTTTCATTTGAGTTACATGACTCAATATGTTTTTTTTTCATTTCACGATCCACTGGACTGTTCTTGTGCATTTATTTACATTGGATTCCCAACTTTCTTACCTTCTTGTGATATTTCTGCAGTTTAACAGGCATTGTGGGGTAGGAAGATTGAAGTAATAAATATTTACAACTCAATTTCACTTTTGTGGCCAATAAGGTGCTTAAGATATGCAGACTACTAAAGCAAGGTAACTTTCAATGGCTTTCAAGTTAAAAATTTATCAGGCAAGTTTAATAGTTGAGTCTATTGATTTGGCCTTTTGCTAGTTGTTATTTCTTGAAATGAGTTGGATATTGAGCTACATAAATAATTTGTTTCTTGCATCAGTGGATTTGATGATTTTGGAAGTATGTTGACACATGATATATATGTTTATTCCTTTTAAATTTTACAATGTCTCAAATGTTGTTTTATTGCAGAAACAGTTCGTCTGGAGCACGTCAAAAGATCTCTCCACGATCAATTAATTCCTCCGACGTGCCTCATAAGACCTCTCCTAGAGGTGTTTCCTTAGCGGCACCGCCAAAGATTTCTTCTCGAATTGTGCGCCAACTCAAGCCAGCTGCACAAGATTCAAACTCCTCTATATCGTCTGTTAACCTAGCAAGTAGGACGCTGAAAGAGAGAAGTCCTAAAGTTGCCGACCGGAGGTCACTCGGAAGTCCAGTGTCTGAGGTATTGCACATAAATACACACGACTGTTGTGCTAAGTTTGTATCTCTGGATCCCCTAGTATCATAGTGCAGTTCGGTGTTTTAGTATCAAACTTCAATTGATTTCTGCTATGATAATGTATTATGACAATATATAACGCTATCTTCTATTTGCATATATTCCTAAATCGTATGTTTCCCTTGCAACTTGCAGAAGAAGCACCCTAGCAGGGTTGCGGAACTAGAACATCAGATTTCTCAGCTTGAGAATGATCTGACTAATGTGAAGAATAGATTATGCTCTTCAGAAGCGTCAAAGAAACAAGCCCAAAAAGATATAGAGGAATCTACTCAGCAGCTCTTAGCCCTGTCGTCAATGCTTGAAGAGTACCGAAAGAAAACTTTGGAGCAATCGTCTTCTGAGGATCGCTGTAAGGACACTGAAGAACAGGATAAGACGTTGCAATCTGAACTTGCAGATATCCAAGAGCAGCACTCGGTAAATTCAGATGCGTTAGCTTCTGCCTTAAATGAAATCAACCAACTCAAATTCCAGCTTGAAACACTAGCTAAGTCTGAAGCTATCCAGACCAAGTACTCAGAATCGGTGCAAAGTGAGTTACATTTACTGAGAGAAAATCTGGGTGAATCTCTTGCACTTGTGGAAGATATGAAAAACCAGCTAAGAGACTGCAAAGAATCAGAAGCTCAGGCCCAAGCACTTGTCGGAGAAACTCTGATGCAACTGGAGACGGCGAAACAGACAGTGGAGGTCCTCAAGTCAGATGGGTTTAAAGCAATGGAAGCATATGATGCCATATCTTCCGAATTAGACAAGTCAAAGGCTCGCGTTAACTTTTTGGAAGAACTTGTTAGAAAACTCAAGGCTGATAGCAGTTGTGCTGGTGGCAAAGATTCTCAAAATTATTGTAAAACTGAGCTTACTTCTCTGAAACTTGAAGTTGAACAGCTAAAATCTGCTTTGGAGTCCGCTGAGATACGATACAACAAGGAACAAGCTCTTAAGGCTGAAGAGATGAAAAATGCTAATGAATTGGTGGAACAGATAAAGTATACATCAAGTCAGAGAGAAGCAGCATTAGAGTCGGAGCTACAGAAAGTGAAAGATGAAGTTGAGGAGTTGAAGGCAAACCTGATGGATAAGGAAACTGAATTACAGGGTATATGTGAGGAGAATGAGGGGCTGATGATGAGACTAGAAAATACTCGGTCAGTTCAGAGAGAATACGAACTGGAAATGGAGCTCCAGAAATCAAAGGTGTATGTTGAAGAACTGAGAGCAAATTTGATGGACAATGAAACAGAATTACAGAATTTATCCGAGGAGAATGAAGCGCTGAAATTGAGAATCAAGGAAAACAACATGAGCAAAACAAGTGATGAAGTTGTTTCTGAACTTGAAATTGCAAGGGCAGCAGAGAAGGAGGCTCTTACGAAGGTTATTTACGTGACAGAGGAAGTTGATAAAAGTAACAGGAGAGCTGCACGAGTGGCCGAGCAGTTGGAGGCAGCACAGGCAGCGAATGCAGAAATGGAGGCCGAATTAAGAAGGTTAAAGGTGCAATGTAACCAATGGAGGAAGGCCGCAGAGACAGCAGCTGCAATACTTTCAGCTGGAAACAATGGAAAACTTATGGAGAGAAAAGGATCATTGGATAGTAACTATATCCTTGGGACAGGAAACATAGGTTCGCCTTTTGCAGAGGATGTGGATGAAGATTTGATAAAGAAGAAAAACACGAACATGCTTAGAAGATTTGGGGTCATGTGGAAGAAGCCACAAAAATAGAAGCTAAACTATGAAGATTGGTATTATTATGCTATGTATTAGACACGAAATGGTTGCAAAAATTTGATATCTTTCTTTAATAAGAATCTCAAGTTCGATAATCAATTGTAATGCTAGTTGTCTTTAGAGATACCATTTCACCAAGAGAGCTATTTTTATATTTTCCTATTATGAATGATGCAAGATATATGTGCAAGATGAAATAAATCAAACAATCAAGAACACCAAGATCTTACTGGGAAACCGAGACATGAAAAAATCACTGCCGGAGAAGGAGAATTCGCTAAATCAAAATCAATAATTTGTATGCTCTCAACTGAATCTAATTGTTCTCTAATGCTATGAAGAGCTAACAAGTCATTGAGCATATATACTACCCTAATAATAGAGTTTTAGATGGAATGGGTATCTCAAATTTCGTTAAAACACGTAACAGGCCTAGGTCGGATAATACGATTGCACAAGAGCTGTGCCTTGCGCGAAGCGAGCGGTTGCTTTGGTGCTTGGGTGCCAGACTCGGGGCAACGAGTAGTGAGGTAGTGCTCTGGATAGCACTCAGGCACTAAATCTCTGTTTCTAATCCATTTCTTCCTTCCGAGTTACACCTAGGTACCCGGATGTAGCACTTGGGCACCCAGTCTCTACCCAAAACATCCCAAATCCATATTTTGACTTCTTTAAAGTCTTTTTTCAACCAAAACACCAATTCCCTATGGGATTTGGGACATACTTCAATAAATCTCCACCTTGATTCAAATTATAATGTAAGGAATTACTATTCACTCTTCAACAAACAATTCTCTACCTCTTCCACACAAGCCCCTAAAGGGTAATTCAACAAGTATCGACCAAGTCTAGGCAATGCTCAAACTTGGCCATATGGAGTGCCTTTGTCAATATATAGCGCGGATTCTCCTTGGTATCAACCTTTCTCACTGCAATATCACTGCAAGTAGTCACATCATGCACAAAATGTTACCTCACATCAATGTACTTTGTTTTCTTGTGAAATATCCGATCTTTTGTCAGAAAAATAGCACACTGACTATCACAATATACTGTAGACATCTTTTTACCGATTTCACCAAACAATCCACTCAACCACGTAGCTTCCTTACAAGTATCTTTAGTAGCCATGTTGCCTCAGTAGTTGATAATGTCACTGTATTCTGTAATATAGCCTTCTAACTAATAGCACAATCTCCAATGGTAAACACTATAATTGATCTCCTTTCATCAAGATTCCTGCGAAATCTGAGTCAACATACCCAATGACTCTATTTGTACTGTCAAAATGCAAACAAGAACAACGTAGATATTTGAAAATCCATTGCACTACTTTCTATTGTTCTTTGCTAGGATTTGACATGTATTTGCTAACTACACTTACTGTATATTCTAAATCTAAGGTGTAAAAACCATAGCATACATGAGTGATCCAACTGCATTCAAACAAGGAAACTTGTGGCATGTAATCAATATCTTCATCTAAATGTGCACAAAGAAGATGACAACTTAAAGTGGACATCCAAAGGTGTACTGGCAACCTTGCATTCAACACATTAAATCTTTAAAGTACTTTCTCAATGTACAATTTCTGACTCAAATATTATCTACTCCTTGTCGCTCAAGATCTCCATTCCAAAAATATTATTCACTGTTTACAAATTCTCCGTATCAAACTCTTCATGACATGAACTTTTACCTCAATTACCTGTACTTTATCCTTGGTAGATATCAACATATCATCAACATAAAGTAGTACATATATAAATGAAACATCATAACTTTTTCTAAAGTACACACAATTATCATAACTGCTTCTTTTAAAGTCATGAGTAGTCATGAATGAGTCAAACCTTTTATACCACTGTCTCGGTGACTACTTCAGGCCATAAAGGAACTTCTTCAATGAACATACATAGTCTTCATTTCCTATGACTACAAAACACTCTAGTTGGTCTATGTAGATGTCCTCTTCAAGTTCTCCATTTAAGAATACTGTCTTCACGTCCAACTGCTATCTATAACCTTTAGCCACTATCTTGTTTTGTACCTGATATCTTCAACTCCTGATGTACCCATTTATAGCAAACAACCTTTTTTCTCTTGGGTAATTCACTAAGTCCCACGTACCATTTTTATGAAGTGATTCCATCTTCTATTGCATAGAAATCATCCATATGTCAGAATCATTGCAACTAATTGCTTTTGTGAATTTAGCAGACTCTTCACTAGAATCAATATTTCAAGCCACAATGCATATGCTACCAAGTTAGCTTCTCTATACTTATATGGAATTCTAATCACACTTCTAGGTCTATCTTTAGCAATAGAATACTGCGGTACCGCTGGTGGTGGTAGTGACAAAATGGTACTCTCATTCTCTTCGGAACTATACTATGCTAAAAAATCTAGTTTAGATCTTGAATCAATCTCAAAGGCCACCTGAGATTTTTGTTTCTACTGAGTTGTTTTACCAGAATCTTTGATAGGTAAATTATAAACCATTACGTGTTCATTAAACACCACATCTTTACTAATCACCACTTTCTTTATTTCTGGACACTAAAACTTATATCCCTTGACATTAGATTTATAACCAAGAAATATACACTTTCTAGACTTTGGCTCTAATTGTCCATTATCCATACGAGCATACGTAGGGCAACCAATTACTTTTAAATTTGAGTAATTAGGAACAAGCTGTAAAATGCAATTTTAGCCTAAAATGTCTTAGGTAACCCAAAATTTGAAATCATGCATAGGACTTTTTCCGTCAATGTCCTATTTATCCATTCTGCCACACCATTTTGTTGTGGAGTACCACACACTATCAAGTGCCTCAGAATCCTTTCTGACTTGCAGAAACTATTGAATTCATTTGAACAAAACTCCAAACAATTATCCGTGCAAAGACATTTTACCTATTTTTTTAGTCTGCTTCTCAATCATTGTTTTCTATTCCTTGAAGGTAGCAAACACACCACTCTTCTGCTTCAAGAAGAAAATCCAAATATTTCTAGAGAAATCGTCAATTATTGTCAACAAGTACTATGCATTTTGTCTAGAAGGCACCCTCGCTTGTTGCCAAAGATCCAAATAAATATAATCAAGTGTTTCCTTCATATTGTGACTCCGTTTCATAAATTTGACTCTCTTCCATTTTTCAAAAACACAATGCTCACAGAACTTCATCTTGCTAGTACTCTGCCAATCATGAAGTCTTCATCTACTCAATTCAGTCATCCTATTCTCACTCATATGCCATAATTTAATAAGTTCTTCATCTGACAAAGAAGAAGTGGTGACGTTGCATCCCCTGCAATTGTAGATCCCTACAATACATATAATCAAGTTTAGCTTCTTTGTCCTTTCACCACAACAAGAGTACCTTTGCTAACTTTTAGAACTCCATCTTCATTAGTGTACCTGCACCATTTAGCATCAAAGGTACTCAAGGATATGAGATTCTTCTTCTGGCTTGAAATATACCTCACATTTGTAAGTGTCCTGATAGTCCCGTTAAATTTTTTAATACTGACTGATCCAATTTCAACTATTTTACACGTCATGTTATTTTCCATTATCACAACACATCTTGAAACCACCTCATATGTTGAAAACCAGTACCTATTGTGAGACATATGGAATATATAAGTCGAATCAAGAATCCAATCCACACAAAGTTTGAAATCACTGTTAGATATCACGAATAACTCTCATTCACTTTGGTCGTCTCCTACAACACTGGCTTCTCATGTATCTTCAAGTTGTTTTCCCTTCTCTTTTGCAACAATCATTCTATTTCTATTCTGTAATTTGTAGTAGTAAACTCTAATGTGCTTTTCCTTTTTGCAAAAGTGACATACTTTTTCTCCATATCTAGACTTCGACCTTCTTCTTATATTATCACTAAAATTCCTATCTTGATTCCTCCTACAAACAACCATGCCATTTGTCTAACTCTCTAATCCAATTACAAGATGCTTTATCGCCTCGTTTGGTAGTAAAACATCATTGAAATCATCAATTGTGATAGTATCATGACTATAGAAAATAGAGTCTCTAAAAGTTGTATATGAAGACGACAGTAAACACCACAAATTAATGCAAGATCCTCTTCATCATATTTAACCTTCATAGTCTCAAGATCATCTTCAATTTCCTTAAAAATTGTCAAGCGATCCTCAATAGATGCATCTTTAGATATGCGGTAAGGATACAAGCTCTACTTCAAGTGTAATTTACTGGTCAAACTCTTTGTTATACAAAATTGTTCCAATTTCAAGTACAATGTAACGGTACTTTTCTCCTTAAGAACATCCCAAAGAATATTATTTGAAATGTGGAGATGAATTTGGGATAGGACTTTTCGATCCCTACGCTACTTTTCTTACTACGTCCAAGTAGAGGGAATTTTATCAAATCCTAACAGGGTATCATGCAAATCCATTTCCACGAGTACGACTCGTATCTTCACCTTTCATAGAGAAAATCTTGTATTGCGATCCGAAAACGAAATATCATATTTAATGTAACCATCGCGAAAAATCAACATTACTCTTATACCAATTTTTATGAATGATTTGAGATATATGTGCAAGATGAAATAAATCAAATAATCAAGAACACCAAGATTTTACTTGGAAACCCAATCGGGGAAAAATTACAATCAGAGGATGATAATTCACCGAATGAAAATCAATGATTTATTATAAGATTTGATGCTCTCAACTAAATCTAATTGTTCTCTATTGTTATGAAGAGCCAACAAGTCATGGAATGGGTTTCTCAAAATTCTTTAAAACACATAACAGGCATGAGCCGGATAACCGGTCACTCGAGCGTCGTGTCTCGCACGCAACGAGCAGCTACTCTTGCACTCGAGCGCTATTTCATGAGTAACAAGTGTTGAGATAATGCTCAGGTGCTGAATTTCTGTTCTAAATCTGTTTCTTCATTTCGAGTGGCGCCTAGGCACCCGAATGTGGTACTTG